CTGTTAAAAACATTGATGCTTAAAAAGAAAGTTTTACCCCTTATGGTAAGTGATGTGGTACCACAGACTCTAGAGATGCAAACCTCCTGCTCAGCCTACTGCAGCGTTGTAAGACCGCAGCTGGTAAGAGAGCAAATGGCTCCAAAAATACTTGTAAAAACTGCAACACCTCTGCACATGCTGCCTGGTCCCTCGGTCCCCGCTCCCCAGGCAAACACAAAAGGAGCACAAAAAAGTAAGTAAAATTGAGGGCTCAGCCTCGTGCTCTGTGTTTCTAACTAAGAACCTTTGTAGCAAGGTGGCACAGGGCAGTTTGGGAACAATTCTTCCTTCCATGATACAAAATGTTTCAGTGAGTCCTCTGAAAAAGGTCCTCTGCCACAGTGAGTTGTGGCAGCCCGCACCATGTCGGGCACAGACGGTTCTTTCTTTGGGGCTGTGCATCGCACATCACTTTGTTAAAACTGAGGGTGTTTGCAGGCACCAGCAAGCTCAACTCTGGGGCTGACCTGCAGAATTTGGTGCGGGTCCTCCCCAGCATTGCCAAGGTACTCGGACAAAGGTTGAGGCCAGTGATGTTTTTGATGCTTGTGGATAGGATCTGGTTTCAAAAAGGCATAACTGGCCAGGTTGTGTCAAGCCGTGACCTTGCACCACTGCTAACCCCTGCTAAAGAGGGGAGTGCTGTTTGGAAGTGTGACGCTTGTTCCCGCTGGCTCCGGGTTTGCTCCCCAGGACCACAGAGTGAGTGGCAGTACTCTGAAACGGGACCCGGAGACCCCCAGAGTGAGCCTTTGCCAGCTCTTGGGAACCACAACAAGGCTTCTCTGAGCTTAAAGGATAAATGGGGAGAGCAGTGAGTACTTGCTCTTGGCTTCAAGAGAAAGGAAAGAGTTTGGAGAGACTTCTTTATGCAGAGTAGCACTGATCCGAGCTTTTAATAATGCAATGGACTTGTAAGCGTTCCAAACTGTGAGATTTTTGAATGAATTTTTAATCCAGGGTTTAACATTAAAGATTAACATGTGTGTTTTGAATTTCACAAAGGGAATTTACCCCTGAAAGGCTGACTTCCTTCAGTGGCTTCTTATGATTTTGTTCTATTTTACTCCCCCCACACACCCCCAGGTGCATTAAAGCAAAAAACAAAGGAAAAGGAAAACCCAGCACCAAGGCTGTGCTTGGGGAATTTTCAACTTGTTGTTAAACCAGTGTCCAATTGGGCTCTTTCATATTAATGCTGCTCTGTGTGCTTTTACACTTGGCAGGAGCGACAACATCTGTGTGAAAAACTGAGCCAGCTGTGCAGAAAAAAAATCTTTCTTAGTTCAGAGCAGTTGTGTACTTTGCTGCTTGGGCATAAGTAGCTTCTTGCATCTGTTACGGAGGGAAAATTTGCAAAGTGTTTTCCTGAAACTCTAACTCTAAAAGACAAGGGAAGCCTGTAGCAGCTTTATGTTTGCAAAAGTTAGCAGCTCTTGTAAAAGGGAATTTAGGACATCAGGGGAACAGAAGAAGAGGGGGTAAGCATAAAATCAGACAGAACCGTGAGGCTTGGTCACCCAGAGTTAACTCTCAGGACTTGGCATCAGAAGAGAAGGTGGTAAGGAGGGAGGCACATTCTCATGTACAGTAACAGCAGCAGCTGCGTTCACAAAGCCTCTTTCCTGCATTTCAAGCATGTTATGATGATACTCTATGTTTTTTGAAAACCTCCTTAAGAGGTTTGGAGCATTTTGTGAGCATCTGACACTTCCTTGAGGGTAGTGCTTCGTGCCTCCCAGCCTGGAGCTCTTTGGCTCTTTGGGGCAGGGCTTCTTGCAGAAAGCATTTGCTCTTACAATCATGTTGGCCTCCAACAGAGCTGAACGGTGGTAAGGAGGGAGGCACATTCTCATGTACAGTAACAGCAGCAGCTGCGTTCACAAAGCCTCTTTCCTGCATTTCAAGCATGTTATGATGATACTCTATGTTTTTTGAAAACCTCCTTAAGAGGTTTGGAGCATTTTGTGAGCATCTGACACTTCCTTGAGGGTAGTGCTTCGTGCCTCCCAGCCTGGAGCTCTTTGGCTCTTTGGGGCAGGGCTTCTTGCAGAAAGCATTTGCTCTTACAATCATGTTGGCCTCCAACAGAGCTGAACATAGTGAACCTTCTTGTTTTTTTTTTTTTCCTTGATAAGAAATGTGTGTGTTAATTTGAAATCAATACTAATACTTGGCACAGTGGTGGAGAGCGTGATTAATAGGCAGAGCAAGGCCCATGAGTCAGGTGCCAAAGTCCTATTCTTGTCTCACCATTGACCTGCTGCATGGTGTTTACGTGAGTTTATACCCTCTCTCCATCTTGGTTTTTCTCACTGCAAAATGGAGACTCTCTGCGTTGCCCCAGTGCCTTACCTGCTAGCATATTTTAGAGCTATCGGTGCAACTTTCTGCACTTGAGCTTTTCCAGCGTGATGCTGGGTACTCAACTAGAGAGCAGGAGGGCTGGGACCGGCTGGTAATGAGGATGCTCAGCATTTGTGACAAGTCAGGCCCAGTGATCTCAGCTTGGACGCTTAGAGCTGCAGATGCCTCAACCCTGGGTACACTGTGAGCAGGGAGAACCTCCCAGAATTAGGACTTGTTTCCCTTTGCACCCTGTGCTGGCACATACCCGCGTGTCAGAAAGGCACACAGCAGACGGACAGCAGATTTGCATTAATCTGGCTGCGCACTTTTTATGTATTGGTCCTGGTTCCATCGTGCAACATGGGAATGATTAGCCCAAATGGCTGGAGAGCAAGGAATTGATTTATAGTCAGCAACATTCGCAGCAAAGCTTTGGGTTTCAGGGCGGGGAGGTGGGGAAGATGGAGCTGCCTGAGGACGGGGAGCAGGGAGCAAGTCTTGTTCAGGGAAAGGACAGCAAAGTGCTTAAATAGATGTGTTCCTGTGGCTCATGTGTGGAAGTGTCTGTGCCTGACACTGGCCACTCGAGCAACATCAGGACCAAACTTCACATGGAAACACCGACAGCTCCTGAACTCTGGGTGTTTCCATGTGAAGGTTGGGCTGGAGTTGTTCATAACTAAAGCTGGTAAGGAACTTGTCATCTATTCCAGGGAAGTCTTAATGCGTCCTCTCTGTTTCGTTTCACATCACAGTGAGAGTCCAGATTTTTTAGTGGATGGAACAAAACTCAGGGGAAATTTCCATTGGGAAAAGATACTGTTCACATGATGTTGAAAGGCCATAGGGTATTAAGTATGTGTGTGTGTATAACACTGTACTGTTACTGAATACAATTGTATTAAGTTGAATTTATGTAATATCTAAATATATGGCAAAAGTTTAAACGGATTGAAATAAAGTGTTTTTACCTTATTGAACTGAAGTGTGCCAATATTACCATAATTAAATGGGAAAGTTGAAGCAATTCATTTTGACTTCCCTCGCTGAAAATGTCATCAAAGTTGATATTCTTACAACCTATTTTGATTTTAATGAAAACTCTTTTTTTCCCAGTGGAAAATTGTCCTTTTACAACCTCTTTCAGACAGCTCAACTCATAATCTGAAACATTCAATTACTGACCTGACATTTGCCAGATCAGAAGACAAATTTGGGTTTTCCTTTCTTTTCAATTTAAATGAAAAAGAGCCTGCCTTTTTTGTTTCCTTTCTGTTTGTCTGTTTGTAATAACTTTAATAATTTTACATCCAAAGTAGTTTGGGATTAACAAAGTTCAAGAAACGGAAGCTTAATGTCTTTGAACATCCCCATGAAAGCTAGTTTCAATCTGACTGCTTTTGGAGACTGAAAATTATGCTTTTATGCTTTTATCAGGCTTGTTTTGAGCATCAGGTAAGAGACAGGGAAGTTTCACCGTGATTGTGCATATTCTCACTTAAAGGCTCGTTCTCATACCAGCGGGCCACAGGAGTTTTGTTATCAAAATGGATGCAAATGTGATTAGACCTTTAAGCACCGATTTGGCAAGATACTTAAACATGTGCTTAATTTTTAAGCATCGAGTGTATTTCCTGTGACTTGACTACCTTTAGTGGAATTGCTAGGACATATCAAATCAGCCCAGGCATCAGGGTCTGGCCGAGCAACTGTGGGCATTCGCTGGCCATGCAGGCGGCAGCACCGGTGAAGTGGGACTCACAGCCGAGTCAGAAAGCAGGAGAATTTTTAGGGGAGCTCAAAGGCACGGTGAACACCGAACATCTGCCAAATATCCTCTCACTTGCAAAGCTTGTGTACTCCATAGGATGAGAGCATTTCATACATGAGACACAGAACTGGGTTGGAAAGCAGATAGCCAACTTGTTGGCATTGCCTCAGCCAAAAGTTGTGGGACCAGATCCTTTAAGAATCTGATACTCATCCTGGTGACAGTCCTTCCTGACTTCAAGGGAAATGGGATCAGTCTGTAAATGAAAACTTTTCTTCTCAGAAATTGCTAGTTTCTGTCTCCTCAGGGGTTGCTTTTATTTTAAATTATTTAATTTTATTTTGTTTTGTCTTAGGCACCCCTTTGTTGAGGGACCAGCCCATCATAGTCCCCCATAGGCCATCATAACCAACCATGGGGTGATGATGGTGCTGGAATATACTGGTAATGGGGGAAGGCAGGTAAGGTAGGTACCCCAGGAAGCATTGGGGGAGCTCCCCTGCATTTGGCTTGGAGATGCGGGGCCATTTCTTGGGGAGTTATTTCCTACCTCCAGGCGCCACTGTTCATGGTCCCCTGCACTTCCTTAATCCCAATCCCAGCTCCCATGCTGCTACCGCAGCCCCACATTCCTCTCCCCCAACCTCTCCTTCCTGGGGCTGCCCTCAGCCCCTCTCCAGCCTGATCTAGGTCTGGCCCAGCCTGGCCCAGCCTTCGCTCTCGCCCTTGCAGGGAAGCTTTCTCACATAGGAAGTCCCAGCTCCTTGGAGTCCTCATTGCTGACCCAAGCCCTGCCATGGCCTCAGTGGCTTTGTGTCATACGTGCACCCCTGCGTGCATGGGTGCACTCCTGTTTGTGGTGGAGCCCATCAACATCTCGGTGGGTAGATGCATTGTGTTCCTGTTATCTTGCTGCCTCGTCATTCCTGGAAGATGCAGCAGCACCAACAAGGCCTGGGTTTCATGTGGCCACCTGAGGTTCCTGGAGGACTTCCAGAGGATGTCAGTGGTGTCTGCAGGGAGGGAGCCACGCAGCAGCATGTCCCTGCATCTTCACACAGCCTGTGCCTAATAGGACAAACACTGTCCCTTTTCTGTCCATCACCCTCTGCTTTTTCTGCTTTTGGGGGAGGATGGACACGGCTCTTGGTGCTTTGGGTAAAAGTAGTTGAGCCGTAGTTGAACTGTAGGTTGGGACTGTTTGCACTGGAGTTAGACCTAAAGATGGTTGTGTCAGGGTAGGTGAAAAAAACCACTCGGGTGTGAGTTTGCAGTCTGTGTTTCAATGGCATTTTTCCTGTAATGGGGGCAGGAGGTGGATATGCAGAACGCGTCTGCAGGGAGGGAGCCACGCAGCAGCATGTCCCTGCATCTTCACACAGCCTGTGCCTAATAGGACAAGCACTGTCCCTTTTCTGTCCATCACCCTCTGCTTTTTCTGCTTTTGGGGGAGGATGGACACGGCTCTTGGTGCTTTGGGTAAAAGTAGTTGAGCCGTAGTTGAACTGTAGGTTGGGACTGTTTGCACTGGAGTTAGACCTAAAGATGGTTGTGTCAGGTCAGGTGAAAAAACCACTCGGGTGTGAGTTTGCAGTCTGTGTTTCAATGGCATTTTTCCTGTAATGGGGGCAGGAGATGGATATGCAGAACGCATATCTCTCTATGCATTCTGTGTTAAAGAGTTAAGTCACTGATGAGCCGGTTGTCCCTCCCCCATCCCCACCTCTCTTCCCATGCAGCTGCACCCTGCGCTCCTGCCTCTCCCCACCACACACAAGTCGTATATTCCAGCCTGCCCACCCATTCATCCTGCCTTCCCCTGTGCCAGCTCCCCTTACTGGGCTTTAATCTTATTCCTTATGGGCTCTGTCCTTCCCACTCAATATACCATTGAACATATTTAAACTTCGAGTTGTTTTCCCTTATTAAGCAGTTTATCACTATGTTGCACTTTTTTTTTTTTTTAACCAGGAGAGAAGGAAGAAATTTATTATTTTGACCATAAATCATTTACAAAGCTGCTGGGCCGTTAATGTATTTTTTATGGCTCGGCAAACAGAAAATAGGAGTGGGTGTCTTAGTAGAGCTTTGCCGACCTGTTTTGATTTCAGCTTCCTAACCCTGACTTTCTGTTCCCCAGTCTTGGGAGCAGATACATTTCTCTTGCAGAGGCACCAGTGGATATCTTCTCCCGAAGGAGGCAACTTTGCTTTTTCAGCAATGTCATGTGCTGTTGCCAGCACTTGGCACTGATCCGCAGCGCGACACATCTCTGCTGACTGGGCTGTGCTGGGAGAATACTAGCAAAGAAATGGGATGGGCGGGGGGGGAACTCGAAGCTATTTTTGCTTTTAGATCCTGGGAAGAGCTCTAATTAGACTCCTGCTCTGGGGTAAGCAAGTTACATGCAGCTCTCATCTCACCCCATGCAGCCTCATCCTGTACTTTGCATGTTGTGGGCTCAGATGGCCTCAGGTGTGGTTACAGATACCCATGGGGATGCTTGAGGATGCTTTCAGAGACAGTGGCTGGCCATAGTGGTGTTTCCCAAATGTTAAGATCTGGCCCCTGCGAGGTTTTGCAACCTGCTTCAGGAAAACGAAGCCAACGTATGCCTTTGCTGCTCTCAGTCAACTCTGTACCTTTTCCCTCTTTTAGGAAACATAGATATAAATCTTCGCTGTAAAAGGTGCATTTTCCTTTCTGAGCTGCTGTGACAAGCAGTGAGATAATTAAGAGGAGGGATGTGGGAGGTTTATGTTGGCATCTGAGCTAGATGAATGGGAAAGTCTGCAGCTCTGAGCTGTTGTTGCAGGCTCTTTGCAAACTCAAGCTGAGCTTTCCACCTTAAATGTACTTGCATGAACATTTGATAAGCTTTCATGCCTAAGACATTTCAGCTAAAGTAACTAGCCATGGTCATTTAAAATGTTCCCACCCCTAGACATTCATTACTGTTGGATGATGCCCCTGCTGTAGCAGTGAGCAGAACAGGACAGTGCGTCTGCAATGCAGCTTTCCCCTTTCACAGCAAAGCAAGTTAGCCTTCCTCAGCAGGTTATACTAATTAATGCCTGGCTGCGAGATGGAGGCACAGCTTCCTTCCTGCTTTTCTGGTTTTGGGGCAATAACCTTGTGCTGAGCAACAAGGCAAACAGCAGAGGATGACAACATCTTAAGTTACTGCAGCAGGATTCCCCAGAGCTGATCTATCGCAGGACTAGGGGTGAAGGAGGAGGGGCTGTGTTTGCCAGTCTCAGCTTTGTAGAAGACAAAGAATAGGGAGATACCTTTCTGTGCCTGGCTAAACTTTCACTTTCCTCCTTGCCTGTGCCTGTGCCTGTGATTTGGAAAATGGTGCTTCAAGCGTCTCTGGAGGACCTTAGGAGAGAAAGAAATGACTGTCACCCTGTTGCAAGGACACACCACACTGTTTGTACCTTGGGTATGCTGCCTCATTGTGGCCTTCAGCCATCTTCTGTAGACAGACTGCATGCTCCTGATTTGCCCACCTGAGTCCTGGGGGGATGAGTCATTCACAACTCCAATGCTGGGCACAGCCAGGAATAGGCAAAGTTGACACCAAATGGTCCCACAGAGTGGGCTTAATTAAGCTTACTCACCCCTCCCCTCTTTCAATTCAGGGGAGCAATGAGTGAGCACTTGAGTGAGTTCCCGATCCCCTCTGGGTCCCCTCTGGTCTTGCTCATCTGCTAAAGCAAAAAATTCCCCAACCTCAGTAGTGCAGCTGCTCCTTGAGTCCTCTGCAAATGCTGTGAATTCAAGGACTGCCAGCTCAGATCGCAGCAGTCTCTGTTTCCAGCCAATGCTGCATGCATCGGAGGGAAGTGTTAAACTTTCCATAATGTACCTAATTGTGCAACACTATACTATGGAGAGGGAATTAACACATGCCCCAGAGCACAGTGATTGATTAGTTTTATCCTAGCTAATGTCATTGTAGATGCTATTTTCGTTCCTATCAATGTCCCTTCCTATTTTTATAATCTTGCTATAATACAATGCAGTTTTTTTTTATCTCTAACTTGCATGCATACTGCATCCAAGGCAGCAGAGATGCAAGGCAACCATCCCAGCTAGCAGGAGCTGTGAAGAAGGCAGCTCTCCTCGCAGTTCCAGCCAGGCTGGATAAAGACACAGAAGAGAAGCCAGTACTGGGAGCACAACAGGAGTCCAGAATTGGAAAGGACCATTTGGGTCATTAGGCCCCTGACCCTGCTATCACCAGGGCATCTATAAACCAGATTTGGATTCTTGTTCCCACTTTGTACATGTTAGCAAGCTGCACTAACATCATGCTCTTCTCACAGTTCAAAAACCTCTTTTGCATTTCAAGACTGTGACTAGTTAAACACAAGCATTAAGATCTGTTGGAAGAGCACTGTTCAGGTTACACAGAGAGCTTAACATAACGTGATCCCTGCTACATGGAGAGCACGGTCGCTCTCAATTTCCCTAGTAGGTTGAATGCTCAGCAGTTCAGCAAATCAAACCCTTGAGGTCTAAACCTGAGCAAATGAGGATCTCACACTAATAGGGACCCTCTGAGGATACCTGGAGCTGACTGACTTGCTCAGAAGGACCCAGGGAGTCTGTGCCAGAAATGGGGAGGGAGTCAAATTCCTCAGTATGTTATAGAGACCCTTTTCTACCCCTGTAAGAGCTAGTCCAGCTCCTCTGAAAAGGACATGGGAGGGAACCGACACCATTCTTGAAGTATGTATAGCTGAAAGCTTTCCTGCCTTTTTTTTGGTCTTAGAGTCCAGTTTTCATCCCCCCTACGGCTGCAGGTTGGGGAGGTCAGGGGCAGGGAGATGTGCTCCATGTCATCTCAATCAGACAGTTGTTTGAAATCCTCCTCCCAGCTGGCCTGCAGACAAAGACCTATTTCTAAAAGGGAGGATGGCAGGGGTGGTAGTGACCGCTACCAGGCCAACAGCTGAGGCCAGAGCAGAGCAGAGTGGGTCAGCAGGAAGTTTCACTGTTAGCTTTCTGTCTAGTTCAGCTGAGGTTATAAATGGTAAGGGAGAAGGGTCGGTGTGATCAGCACAGATTTACAGATAGCCAATGTCTAGTTACAGATCAGCTGGTCTAGTTCTTGGCAAGAAACACTGCAGGGCTCAAGTTCAAGATCCTGACATTGTGTTTTCTCCCTGGATTAGTGTCTGCTGGCCCGCATATCCTACAGGGTGGGCAGCAGTCCTGAGATTGCTCTTACGGTGGTAAAATGGATCTATTTACTTGGGAGGTTCCATGCTGGAGGGATGACTAGATACCACCAGTTGTGTCTGATGATTTCTGCAGGGATAAAGGTGCTTAGAGGTTAACTTGGCCTTTGACCTGCATTTAACAGAGAGAGTAGCACTGTATACACACCTCAGAGGAAAAGTTAGCGTCAGTGTAGGTTTAACACCTGTGTTACAGAGATCTTGCTCTAAAACCATGCTAGATGTGATAGTTTTCCTGCTGTTTGTTCCAGTCTGTCCTGCAGAGCCAGCAAAGATAGGAAGGAAAGAGTTGGAAATTATTTTGCCTTACACACTTGCTAGACCTGTGAGCCAGAAAGAGCCAGCATGAGCCTTATTTTGTGATATTGTCCCAGTTCAAATACAGGGAACAGGCTTACTCCCAATAAATTCTCAGTCTAGCATCTGAGATATTCAAAGTTTGATGCAGCTGTTTCAGAGAACAAAATGGCCAAACTCTGTCCAATTGCATCTTCTCTTTTTAGCTCTGAGCTATGTACTTGCCCATCATTGTGATGGGGATAGTGCAGAAAGAGCTGGACAGGGCAAGGGGAAGGGACAAGGTTGGCAAGTGTGACTTGCATGGCTGGGTTGCAGAGTGGGAAGGGCAGGGGCCCAGAGGCACCACTGATGAGAGCTTTGGGAATTACAAGAAAGCAGGGGCTGCTGAATGCTGGACCAGACTGCTAAGCTGTGCTGTACAGTACAGACATTGTCTGGGGGGCTTTAAAGACTAAATTAGACAGACTTCTGTTGGCAGTGGCTTAGGCAGTGTTGATTGTGTCTTGAGGAGGAGCTATGCTAGAAAGTCTCTGTCCCTCTTTTCTGATAGAAGCATGGCATTTTCTTGGGTGTGCTCAGCATTCCCCACAGGCTCTCTGGGAAGGCTCCCTGTAGCACCTGTATAACATGTGCCCACATACTGGGGCACGGAGGCAATCACCCTGCGGATGTCTCTGGACCAAAGCTTGCCTTCTTGCTGTGAGCTGGCAGAAGGACTATAGTGTAGTGGAGCCCTCCCTTCCTCACACCATTGCTCCCAGCTCCCAGTATAATTGTTCCAAGGAGGTCTCTACCAAGCATCCTCCCCAGGAAAGTTTGTGCTAGGGCATATTGGCCCCGGGGTACAGTCTACTATGACAGTGTGCATCTGTCCCAGATGCCTGCCCTGCAGAATGGCTTTGGAGGCTGGGATTTTTTCCATGGTAGAATTTCCTTCGTGAACTGGAAATAATTCAGCCTAGCTGGGCATGAACTCAGATCTGTGCTCCACTGGAGTGCTTGGTGATGCTGGTTCCACAAGCAGGGTGGAGTCTACTGCAAGCTGCCTCCAGACACCAGGCTGGGTAAATACTGCTTTTGGTTAGACAGATTCTGAACTAGTGAGTGTAGCACATCTAGAATGACAGGAGGATACTCAGTCCCTGGTGAGAATGGGCAAGACCAGTATTCAGACAGCTTGTTGAGCAGCCTGTTTGGATGCTGTCATATCATGCTGGATAACTTCAATGTTATCAGTGCTTGCAACTGCAAGTCAGGCTCCTTCAGGGACTTTTGAATGGTTGCTGCACTAGCAGGTCCTGTGGCAGAAGTACTCTCTGCATCTGTTACTGTCTCCTCCAGCTGTGAGTCACTCCTTCCTGGGCTGTAGGTTTTGCTACTGCTCAGTGTGTTGAGTCGGCAATGTACCTCAGCTCATTTAGGGTGGGAGGCATTTCTCTTCTTTAGCACAGAAGGCAGCTTTGGTCCCGGACTCAGACATGTGAGGCAGGCCAAAGGCACAGCGACTTGTGTTTTCCTTTCATCTCAGGAAAAAGACTGCTCTGCAGTTTCTCCCTCTGTTGCCTGCAGTTGCCAGATCGAACATTGTGTTCCTACCCTGTTCTTGAAACTTTTGAGTGACCTCATATTTGCCTCTCTAACAAGGGACCCAAAATGTCATACTGCCAAAGGCACCTTCCCCAGCACATGGCAATAGGATTGCTAATTGCACTGGGACAGGGGGAGCCATTCCCTCGATCTCAGATGCAAGCTGATACAGCTTGAAGCTTTATTCTCATTTTCCCCCCAGCCACACACATTTCTACATGTTTTCCCTGGAGGTCTGGAGATGCAGAATGCACGCAGCTGAGGTTTTTTTAATCCCTTTCACACCTCCCTCCCTCCTTTCTCCCCTGGCCATTTGCTTCCCTAGCTTGCCAGCACTGCAGAGTGAACCTGTACCCTGGCCTCTGCGTATGCAAAGTCATGCTAGCCCAGCCTCCCACGCCATTGAGTATCAGGAGGTTGCTGCTAGCAGGTGCCAAATGCTGCTGACTTGCCAACAGTTCTTGGGGGTACTTGCAAAGTAGAGTGTCCTCTAGAAGGTGAGGCAGGGCAGGAGCTTGACTTTCATGGTAGGAATGACCCTCCAAAGAAACTTCTATTTTTCTGAGGTCCTGGGAGATCAACACTCCTCAGCTAAAGACAGTGGGGGAAGACCCTCTCTGTGCACTATACTGCAACCCAGCCAGTGATACCCAGATATCTCGCTGAGCATGGTTGCCTCTGAAAACCAGGTGCTGGGGATGATCCAGCAGTAGAGGAGGACACGCCCTTAGCACAACTTCCACAGCGTGACCACAGTGCTTCCTGAAGGCACAGCCTCTGCAGCCTCTGAGGCCCTTGTGGTCTGTGACCATCTGCCATCATGGTAATGTGGACTGGTGATTGTGCATCAGCTGTTCATGTTATAATCTGGCCTATTGATGCGGAGTGATGGTGGTGGAAGTCCTCATTTCACGCACGGGGCTGTCAGCCTAGGTGATTTGCTGGTCTTGCCGGTGATCTCCGGCAGAGAGGTGTGGCAGTGGGTGGGAGCTGGGAACATTTTCAGTCAACTTAGTATGAGTCAAAGTGCTAAGATGTGCCCATGTCTTTCAGCTTTACTGCATCTGGTATATTCTGAAGCCTATCAGGCTTGCAACCCTTGTAGGGCAGCTAGCAAACATGTGGCAGCATCTGCCTCCTCCTCAAACCCAGCAGGGAGGCAAATGCTGGTTGCGGGACTGGGACCTACATGCTTGTGTCATGCTGTATGAACTATCTACATGGACTCCTCCATGGATGCAGGGGAGGAAGCTGAGTGCGCTACTTGGAAAAGCAGTAGTGACCCATCAAAAATTAAATCAGGGTGATTTGTTGCCAGAATAATTACTTGGTCCTGGAAATATGAAGAAACTCTAAAAGAGCCTCTGTAGCCAAAACATTGTTCTGCTGGCTGGTTCCCTGATAGGGGACAAAAAAATGGAGCATCTGTTCTAATTAGTGATGGGAGCCCGCTACATCGGGATCAAAGGAGAAAGCTTCTTTGCAGAATCAAGCTAAGATCAAAGTGTCCTACGTACAGGAAGGGCCCATTCCTCTTTCTGCTGACAGTGGTGTACCCTGCTCTTCCTCCAGGAATGCTGCTTACAGGGATGCTTAATTACTAAGTAAGGAGGAGACTGCACATACAAGAGACAGTGTAATGGCCATTGTAATCCAGTTCTAAGAGATGATTAGGTGGTGATCGATTCTTGTTGTCTCTCATAAGTCAGTAAACTTCTCTGAACGCTTAGAAAAGATCTGGATTGTGTACCTTTGCAAAAGGAGACCCTTTACAACATCCTTTGCTTGATTTTTCCGACCGCTTATGTGTAATTTGACTTAGTAGACTGGGCTGTATGTATATGCATATATCTATATTTGCATTTATACCTACCCAAGGGAATTCAAGTCCTCATTCCTTAGGCTGCATTGAAAAATCCTTATCCCAATAGATATGCTAAATTTGAAATCTCTTCCTCTCTCTCTCTCCCCTGTCTCCCTCCTTTTGCATTAATGCAAAGCCACATTTTTGCAACTCCTAATTTTGAAATGTTTAAACATGTAACATTTGGTTGAGTTTTCCTACTAGGTGTCTTCCTGGGCATACAGGTTTATAAGTGTATGTGTCTTTGTGTGCATCCATCTGTGTTTTGGGCCATGAGTATTGGTGTGGAAGGATGCAGTCACATAGATCCTTGCGTAGATGGACAAAGGCATGTGTAAGTCTGTTACATTTTCTAGTAGTCTGAGATATAAAGAAAGATGGTGTAGCTTCTGAAGAGGATTTGATCTTTGCTCTTTCAGCTGTCTCCCTGGGAGAGGAGTCACATTGTAGTAATGCCCTCCCGGTGCTGTGTTAACACACCAGCCTACCTCCCTGTTTATGCTGGTGGAAGAGGACTTTGCCTACATTTGGTCTCCTGACTCCCCTGTCGTCTTGTTTAAGCTTACTTGTCAGAAGCGGTTGTGTGTGTTTTCCCCAGCTGTAGCCCTGAAGGTGCCGCTTAGCTTAACAAAATGAGTCCTTGTCTTTAAGTGCCGCCTGCCTTGTATGCATCCCGGGCCAAAGAGCAGCTGACAGGCCCTGGGATGCATGAGGCAAAAGCAAGTCTGAGGAGCTGGCTTGCTCGGTGGTTTAACAAGAACAGAGACAGGGCAGCATGGTGGTGGAGGGGTACTCATCTTGCATGCCCAGGTTCAAAGCAGCTCCCCTTGGCAAGAGAAATGGACGGGGACCTCAGCTCTTCCTTAGTCCCCCCCCTCACAGAAACCACTCCATGGCATTCAGATTAAAAGGGATGCTGTGGTGCCTTGAAAGGGGGAAGAGATTATGGGGGCTGTGGGGTGCTGCAGGGTGAGAGTGGGGGCACTGGCAGAGCAAAGGGATGTGTTTTATGTGTTTTCTTTCCTTTTTTAAATTGTTCATAAGTCAGCTGTGAAATTCTCAAATGTATTGAAAATTATTTTTACAGTGAAGAAATTATGCATGTTCTATTTTAGTGTTTTTATTATTCTGCAGGATGTTTACAGTCAACTAATAGTAAACATTAGGAGTAGCAAGAGGGTGATTAGGTATGAAAACCACGTCAGCTTGATGATTGAGTGATTGATGTAACTAACCCTGCAGTGCAAAATGTAAACTCTGACTTTTCCAGTACATTTGCTATTAGTGAATACTCACACTTAAGTATTACTTTTCCTGAATGACAAGAATTTGAATGTGTGGGTTTTTCTTGGAGGTGAAAGTGGAGGTGATAAGGGATGGGGCTGAAGAACACACGTTGCTATTCCAAATCAGATGAGTAGTTGGTTTTCCTCTCATGGAGAGCATCTCATTAAATCTATGCTGAACATGGCAGAAGAGCTTTCTGCACCATGTTGGAGAGAGAGATTAATCCAATAAATGTCAAAATTACTGTGACCACCTGCACACTGTTTAGCACATGGATGATGCTAGCCTGGATGAGTAGTCATGGCAAGGTAGCCTTCAAATTTAGGCCTGCAGGAAAGATGATCCCTTGTCAGGGTCATATTCAGTAACAGACATCTCCAAAGTTGACCTGGATCACTTCTGGTTTTTAGGCTACTGCCACTGTCTGGCCAGCCATAAGCAAATGAGGAGTCCAAAGCCATTCCCAGTCTGTTGACCACAGATGCAACTAGAAGGCAGATACCCTGTGATAAAGGTGATACTTATTACTGGCTCTTCGAATTATTTACTTCCACTTGCTGCTGGCAGCCCTGCATAGGAGATTGATGGATTAAGCTTTCACCAGCTGTTCCTCATCCAGGCACCTAATTCTCTGAGATGTTAGCACCAGAGATGAACTGTTTCCCTAGGAATTTCCAAAATGTTCCATATTTTTAAATGTGTTCCAAGCCTGTGAGGAAAGTCAGACTTGATTGGGTTTTTTGCAAAGTAAGAAACTTGTGAATTTCACTTGGAGAGATTAAAATGGCATTTTGTCTGACTCTGTTCTGAAGCACTTCTGAGCCTCCCTGAACTACCTGGGGCTTTGGAGGTGGGAGATACGGAGGAGGGAACAGAAGTCCAGAGGAGGTTGCTGAGGATTTGCAAGCTGGGGTGTTGCAGCTCCAGAGCAGTCAGTACAAACCCAGGAACTCATCATAGGCTGTTCAGGTGCTAGAAACTTTGGATCTATAGCATCTGAAGCTCAGCACTTCCAGGCTCTGAGCGCCCCATCTCTCCGTTAGGTAGGCTGGGAAGGATCCCAGCAGACAAGCGTGTGGGAGACCCCTCACCTTTATCAGAAATTAGCCTGTTTGATTTCTTTGTAGTTCAGATAGAAACCTATTCTCATGGAGCATTTCACCTTCAGCAAACCAGTGTCTCTTGGCAGAAAATAGAAACTTTGCTGGCAGCCCTTCCTCGAGTCAGCAAGAGAATAGGGCGGTCCACAGACTACACCTGGGTGCTAGCAATATTCTGATATTGCCTTGGATCTTGAAAACTCCTTGCCTTCTCCTCCAGCAGCCTCCCACATGCTTTGAACAAGAAGATCGTGAGCCATTGTACAGAGAGATGTTTTTTCTAGTCAATATTTTGATTTTGTGGGGAAAAATGGTTTAAAGAATTTTAGTACTACTCAAAATGGTGGTGGTGACTGCTTGGTTAGTTTCACTTGACAAGGTTTTGGCAGTAGGAATGGAGATATTTCCCTGTGTGACTTGCAGTCTAAAAACTGCAGCCTTGAGCTGCTGCGCTGGGAAGCTGGGACTTATCAGGCTTTGAGCCCTGTCCAGCCTGTGTGGAATGCAAAGAAGTGAATGGTGGAAATGCTGGAAAATAAATGAGATTTGATGAGATCCTCCATTATCAGTAGTCATTTTTCACCAGATAGATAGAAATACCTGGACTGGAAAAGATTTAGATTTTTAACCCTTTAAATTAAAAATAGCACTAAAATGTTTCTGCTCGTGCTGGACTTTATGAGGGTTAGAAGTGGGGGGAGGGCTGTGTTTCTTGTTTAATGATGCACATTCTCTCTTCTTACCCCTTGGTGAAGACTTTTAGAATGCAGTTTCCTTTTCTGTTTCAGTGATGTTGGGTATCATTAAGATTGATGGGTTTGAAAACATATTTCATTATCTCTTAGACACAGCTTGGCTGCTTTTCCAGCTCTTCCTCTGTCACCAAAACAAAACCTGTTGTTTCCAGAGGCTCTGAAACTAGAGTGTTCTCACTTAAAAGGGCCACCTATCTGCATTTGCCTGTGAAAAATGTCCACATGAGAGCAGCCTGATCTGTTGAGGGAGGAATATAATTCTTTTTAGCCTGAAGTAATTGGTAAGGGACAGTTGTGTAACAACAGGATGATGTTGTCATGACCTGCATGTGTATGGGTCCACCTGCAATGTTTGAACTGCGTGTCCTTCTCCTGAAATGCTTGAACTGGGTGTCCTTCTCTTTCCAGGTCTGGTGTGTCCTCTGGAGGTGTCAGTCAGTTCAGGGAGTATCCAGGTTGCCCGAGGCCAGACAGCAGTATTGCCCTGCACCTTCACCACTAACGCTGCTCTCACTAACCTTAATGTCATCTGGATGGTCATTCCTCTTTCTAACGCCAACCAGCCTCAACAGGTAGGTCCTTTCTTACTGGAGTATGCATTTCTTTGGGGCTTTCCTTTTCACACCGATCTGGATGTAGTCCCTTTACAATGCTGAGTCTCTTGTCCCAGAACGTTCCCTCCATCGCTGAACATGCCCTCTGGATCTTACATGAATCTGATTTCTTTAATGCTTTGTTAACTGATGCACATTGTGTCCTTGGCTGCCTTGGTTGGATGTGCAATTGGGGCAGGTGTATGTGATACTGTATGGCTGCCCTGGATCTCTGGTGGTTTGTGTGTTCAAAAGAGCACAGGAGATGTAGTCCAGGTTTTGGTGTGCTGGATATGGGATTTGGAGGATCTGGGAGCAGCTGCAGTCTTAAATCTGTGAAATTTATGTAAAATGTGCCAGAACACATGGCTTCTCATAGACTCATCTCCCCTTTTACTTCCCTTCTTACTTTTTCACTGTCTGTTGCTTATGCAAGTCCATTCTTATGAACATTACCAAATGAGAGTCCATTGTGGTGGGCACAAGAATCATAACCTGAGATCTGCTGGCCTGGTTTTTGCCCACATACTCTGACAGCAGAAGAATGCCATTGCTCTGAAATGCATCTGTCTTGGGTCACACTGCCCCATCACATTTGGTATTCAGTTATGAGAACCTGCACTGAAGAGTACTTGCTCCTCAGGGACTTGGTCTGAGTACAGACTGCTATATAAGCCATCTGACTGGTAGAGGCTGTGCAGATTCAAGGGTTGCCTTGCCTGTCATTCAGTTCATCCAATGATCTTCAGTAAGCAGTGTCAAATCATAGCAGGACCTTACTGTCTGAGACTCAAAATGATACTGTCCAATGGGCGGATGCTTTCCATCAAAGTACTCACTGACCTGCAGAGAGTCTCTGCCTCTCTACATTGATGCTGTCCAGGTGGGTAATGACTATTATATGAAGCAGGCTGGTATTGCCAATTCAGCTATGCCAGAAGACTTGGGTATCTATCTGGTCTGTTACCTCTGTGAACATTTTTATTGACATAAAACAGGCTGCAGAGTGTGTTCTTCTTTTAGAGAAAACACCGCTGCTAGGATGGGTCTGCCTGGGACAACTGTGGTTGTCTGGCCTGGTTATTTAGAGATGCTTTAGGAATGCGTCCTTTTGGCTTTGGAAGCCCATGTTTTGCTTGCTGTTCTTCCTCCTTGCTCAGCTCCTGAAGAGTGTTGTTTGAGCCTTCCTTTCTTTTCCAGGTTATTCTCTACCAAGGGGGTCAGATCTTTGGTGGCGCACCCCAGTTCTATGGGCGAGTGGGGTTTGCTGTGACAATGCCAACCACCAGTGCCTCCATCTTCATCAACAACACTCAGCTATCGGATACTGGCACATACCAGTGTTTGGTCAACAATCTTCCCGACCGAGGCGTCAGGAATATTGGAGTCATTGGACTTACTGTCTTGGGTGTGTTTATTTGGATTATGGGGAAGAGGGGAGGAACAGGGTCAAGGGGATCCTCTGTGCATGATAGTGCATCATAGCAAAGCAATGTGGTAGTGTATGCATTGGAGCCCATGGACATCCTGAGGTGAGGGATGGGCTGCCTTGTGGGTATTGTGGGAGTTTGTAGGACACATAGCCTTCATATTCAGGTAGCATATAATGGAGTTTTAAAATATGGTAGAGAGAAAGATTTTGTGGCAGCATTGTGATGTTGAGTTGCAAAGAAGCATGAATAAAGTATGAGGGCATCCTGGAGAGCTGAAGGAACCATAAGAGTTTTGTGCATAGCAACAGGAGAAGAGAATGACTTTAGATCTTTGCTTCCTTTTCATGAAAGCAATTAGTACTGGATGCTCCCTAGGATGTTAAATACTCCAGAGTGTGTGCCATTATAGGGATATGAAAGCAAAACCCAACCACAGCAAATTCTGTCTGCAGCTCTGTTAGCTTTCACCACCCTTGCTGTCTCAAACACAGAAAAGTTCACCTTTTTCTCTATGGAGGGATCTAAGAGTACTGGGTCCTGTGAAAGTCAGCAGTAGTCTGTAACCTTCATGGGCTGGCGGGTCAGGAATCTTTGTGAATTGTCACCCCCCAAACCTTAATGGGTTTTTGTCTGCTGCCTCCCTCTTGTCCCCTTGTCAGCTCATGCCCATGTCCTTGCCTTCCAGCAGCATGTTCCAGAAAGAGCCTGCACTCCACTGTTCGGTCATATTTCCTGATCTGCTGTCACTTTCCCCTCTTCTCTCGCAGTTCCTCCTTCTGCCCCACTTTGCAGAATCCAGGGGTCCCTGGACGTGGGCAGCGATATCACACTGACCTGCAGCTCGGAAGAAGGCATCCCCCGGCCAACATACCTCTGGGAGAAACTGGACAATATTCCCAAGTTGCCCCCAACTGCCACACAAGGTGCTTGTTCTGTTGATTATCCTCTTATTTCCCAGGTGACAGCCTGGGCTTTCCTTTGTCTGAGCCACCAGAGGTGGCATGGCTCATTGAGTGTCTGCTATCACTTGCATGGTCACTTTATTGGAACAAAGATTCCTAGAGCCCATGGTGGACTAGGTACCCTCCAGTGGCCACTTCAGTTTTCATGTTTTTTTGGTTCAGAAACATGTTCCCCATTGAAGAACAAGGGTCTGGTCGAATGGGAGAGAGAGAACATGGTTGCCAGATGTTGGCATGTGGCTGGATATTTCGGCTGCCAACTCACCAGCATTTTAAACCAAATGAAAGGCTGATAAGTTGGAAACTGGGAGAATGGAGGCAGAATCATGCCAGGAAAATACTGCCAGCTTCTCACACTGTTCTCCAATAAGTTACTGCCAGAGCTGCCTTTCAGATGTCTGTAAAAGCAAGGCTCTGATCAGACTGGGTATTGCCCATCTCCAAGTCCCATCCATAAGATTTCTTAGCCTAGGTGTCCTGACCAAGCATTGATAGCTGTACTTTTGCCCTTTATCTTGCTGTATTTTAAGAATACGCAAGCATTTATGTTTTACATAATTCAGGAATGAGGCAAATTGGCAGAGCAGGGGGTGGGGAGTCCAGGGATGGGAGAGCAAGGGTTCTGCAGGGCCGGATTGAATTCAGCAGGTAGAACTGGGTATAGGTAATTGCACATCTCTTCTTTCCTCCCTTTTCTCACACAATGCTGAGAGTCCCAAGCTTTCATTTGCAGAAATACATCTAGAAGAAGAAAAAGAAACATCTAGTGTAAGCTCCTTAAGACCTAATCTTTTGTGTGTGTGTGCACAATGTTTCCATCTCAAGGTTATTTCCTAATTTATTTCTCTCTTAAGAGTCTCACACCAAAATTCTCTATTTGCTGGCTTTGCCTTTTCACGGTTTTCCTCAAGGGGGGGAGGGATTTAAAACCTTCTTTTCTCTCTGACTAGACCAAGTCCAGGGCACTGTCACTCTCCGAAATATCAGCACTGTGTCCTCAGGTCTTTACCAATGTGTGGCTTCAAATGCCATTGGAACCAGCACTTGCCTTCTGGACCTGCAAGTCATTGCACGTAAGTATTTTGCCAAGAGAGGCTTGGCCACCTGCTTCTGTCTTGTGACAGTAAAATGTGTAACCATGTTTGCTGTGAGCCACCATGTGCCTCTCATATCAGAAGATCATTGTGCCCTGGAATAGGGACGTTGCTTTTCTCCCCTCCCAAGCCACGGTAGCTTCAAATGCTCATGGATGGCCACAGCCCAGCCCTGATTTCTTCTCCATTCTCTGTTCAATCATCCCCACAGCCCACCCCCGGAGCATTGGCCTGATTGCAGGAGCAGTGGCCACAGGCGCCGTTGTGCTCGTTGTTTGCATTGTGTTGGTGGCCGTGGCACTGTTTTACTGGAAAAATAAACACAAAGAAGAAGAAGAGGAGGAGATTCCCAATGAGATAAGGTAAGGGCCAGGGAAAGCTGGTGTCAGGGGACCTCTGATCGCCCAGCAAAAGTAGCAGCTGGTAGGAAGGCAATCAGAAATCTCACTCTTGCTAATCCTGAGTGTGTTCCTCTGGGTCAGGGGTCCATATCTGTCCAGAAAAAGGAGGGAGCAAATGAAGAATGGTAATGACAGATTTTGTTTTCAGTATTGCCTTTATTGAGAGCTTTGGTTTGATGTTTTTAGCTCCGTAGGAGAGTGACTCTGCACGTGGTGGGGATCCTGATCCACAATACTGGACAGTGATAGCTGAAAAGCTCTAGAGAAACAACTGTAATCTTCTCTGGTGTTACAGACACAGTGTTTCCCTCTGGTAGCTTCCTGGATCAGCTTCATTGGTTGTACAGGTACAGTCATACTGACTGCCTGTGTAGTACCAGTGACTGTGACAACCATTGGTTTTGCTCCCCTAGACACATGAGCATGGGTCGTTTGCCTCAGCGGTAGGCACACGGAGCAATTAATGTGCACAGAGGTGCATCCTGCAAAGAGGGATGAGCAAATGGGCCAAGGAGCAATGCTGGTTCATATTGGTGCTGTCCTTCACCTTGAATTGATGGTGTTGCCTCCAGCAGGGTGTGGCGGGGGGGGGCGGTGTTGGGCAAGTGGGGCAGCATCCTCCATGTGCCCTCATGCCCTCTCCTTCCCAGGGAGGACGACCTGCCACCCAAATGCTCCTCTGCTGCAAAGACATTCCATGCCGATGCATCCTCGTCGGAGAATGACACCCTCACCTCCTCCAACACCTACAACAGCCGCTACTGGAAGACCCCAAAGGCCAACCACGCCACAGACTCCTTCACCCGCTTCAGCAACAGCAACGATGTCCACCAGCCTCCCTTCTCCCGCTCGGGGAGCATGAGCACCCGCCCCGTCTATGCCAATGGCGGCCACCCATCCCCGGCTCCCCCCAACACGCC